TTTTTAAGCTTTTAACACAGAGGCAAATACACAGGTGTAGACCATGATGTATAACTTACACCACACCTCTCTAGGTTTCCAGGAAACTAATGATGTGATCTTTGTCACATTGTTTCTACTTAGTTTCAGCTAGGGAAGGGCTAACAACATTACTCACTGCCATGAATGCCTTGTTTGGAAAATACTATTACTTACTAGAAGAATCTTTTTTTTTTCTTTTAATTTTTCAAATTGACTCATTAAATCTGCATCAAAAATAAACTACTCATAATCCATTATTGAACTATTGAACTGTTCAACAGCTTCTGTCTCTCCTCCAAAAGTGGGGAAGTATTCAGACTGTGTCAAGAGACCCTCAAACAGAGTAATACTTAATAGCTTGAGAAGACGATAACCCACGACAAGTTAAGTACTAATAGCTGGATAACAGAACTACTAACCTACAGACGATTCTGCAACAACAAAAAAACCAAAAACCTTCTTGCTGAGGCAGCAGCAATTCTTGCATCTGGTCTTAGAGAAAAAATCTAAACTGAACATGTTGATCTTACTTGATTGTAGGAATGTTCTGTGACAAGTATATGGCTTACAGAAAACTCCTTATCTCAGCTAATAGCTAGTTTTCTCCCTGTTGATTTGGAAACAAAAACAAAGAAATTTTGCTATTTCTTTTCTGGCAATATGGTCCACTGAAAATGCCCTCCTCTTTCAGACCCTTACAGAATAACCACTTGTTTCACACTGATTACTGTATTTTCAATTTAGGTTCCTAAGCCTCTTACTTTCTTTGGGGGGATAGATGGGGGGAGGGGGGGAAGAGGAAAGGACAGGAGAGAAGCTTCAGATGTCTTTCCTATCATAAAACAACATGTTACCATGAACGGTGCATGCCCACCTAATATATACCCTCTGCTATCTATTACCACTGCAATAGTATTCCATATAAGCAAAGCTTTCAAAAATCTAAAAGATCACCAGATCTAGAAGAGAATGAAAGGAATATTTCTCAGTCAGATAAGTTCAGTTGGTATTCCATTGGAGCAGATCTGGACAAAAGGTTATTTCTCCTAAATTTTTCCTGTAATTTAAGCTTAGGGAGGGTTAATACCACTAGTATAATCTGCAAATATGTGGAATAGGCTATTAGGTCATCACTATACAACTGGAATAAAATGGCTCTTTTGCCATACTTTCAAGATGATTGAGATGATAACTGAAAAATGTCAAAACAGCAGGAATGATGTACCAGAAGTAAAATAAAGGCTTGAAAGAGACAAGTATACTTAATTAAGTCAATGAAAGTCGGTTGGGGAACTGGTTTTAATAAAAAAATCTTCTATCTTCTGTTTGTTTTTCTTATTATAGAAAATGGACCTCTCATGAGAGAAAGGAAAAACATTATTATCAGTAGCATCCATAAAGCAGGGAAGTGAAGAGGGTCCCCAGCATGCCATTACTGGGGGCTTACCAATTAGTTGTTATCTTTAGCTTGTAAGTAAGAACTACATAGGAAACAAGAAAGTATTAAACAGCTTACCTTCTGTAAGAAAACAGAACACCACAGTTAAAATAGACAGGAAGATTTTTCTAATACAGAAAGCAAGAAAGGCCAAAAATAGGCTGGAATCATGCTGTGTTTTATGCTATATCACAGCACAACTGCACAGCTGCAAAATCCTGCTCTTCTGAGTATTGACTTCTGTTTCCTCTTTCTTTTTTTTTTTTTTTTTCATAATGACAAAAAAAAATGCTAGTGAGTGGTCCCAACTCTACTACTTTTACTCATGGCTGTCTTTAAATGCATCTTAAGTTCTAGATCTGCTACTTGTCTCTCAAACTCTTCTATGCTCTTGACGTCTCCATAGAATCATAGAATCACAGAATGTTAAGAGGTTGGAAGGGACCTTAAAGATCATCCAGTCACAACCACTCATGCTAGGGGCAGGGACACCTTTCACTAGGTGTTTCCCCTCTTTCAGTCTGTACCCAGTACCCCTTGTCCTATCACTATAATTCCAGATGAAGAGTCCCTCTCCAGCTTCCCTGTAAGCCCCATTTAGAAATGGGAGATGTAGATACTAGATTCTGTTATTGAGCACTTACACAGTTCAAGGTCACAGAATGGAAGAAAACAAATTTTGTAACAAAACCAAATGGAGATTGTTCAGAAGCAAATAAAAATGGTTCAGACTTTCCTCTGTGGAAAAAAAAAAAAAAAAAAGGGAATAAAAACCTCAGAAGGACTTCTGGTCATCACAGTAAATCCAACATTTAATTCTAAAGAAAAATAGTCTTTGACAGCTCTCAGAGTAAATCTCTCCTATCTGGGACCACTGCAAAAGGACCCAAAGGGGGTTCTGACTCAAGGACTTACTTACAGTAAAATACTGCAATGCCTCCCTTCAGTTTTGGCTTGTTCTTTTGATTCTACATGATTTTGGATTAGAATCCAACATTAGAAAACTCACAGCATGGGAGTATTCATTTGAGAATGAGCAGGAAGGAACAATGGAGCCAGTGTCTCACTGTCTCACATGGGAGAGATCCTACACTGCAGCCGGGGAAGAGTGTGAGGAGTCATCCCCTTGAGCAGAAAGGAGCGATAAAGACAACACCTGATGAACTGACCACAGTTCATTTGCCATTCCCCATCACCTTGTGCCCCTGAGGCGAAGAAGGCAGAAAAAATCGTAAGTAAAGTTAAGCTCAAGAAGAAGGGAGGGGTGGTGGGAAGGTATTTTAAAATTCTGGTTTATTTCTTGTTACTCTACTCTGATTTTATTGGTAGTAAATTCAATCAGCTTCCCTGAGTCAAATCTGTTTTTCCCATGATGGTAAGTGTTGAGTGATCTCTACATGTCCTTATCCTGACTCACAAGCCTTTCCTTATATTTTCTCTCCACTGTCCAGCTGACAAGAGGAGTGATAGAGTGATTGTGGTGGGCATGTGATGCCCAGCCAGAGTGAATCTACCATACTAGGAAACTTTGAGAGAAACACTGACTTTGATTTTCTGGTATCATAAGGAAAGGAGGATTGGTCTCTGGGAAGTCGCTGCTCAGACTGAAGCCAGAGCTTTATTCTGACAACCCCACTTTAAGGCCTATATCTTTTGCTAGCAACCTGAATGCAGAAATTAAGGACTTCTTCTGATAATAGTCCTGCAGCTTTCAATCAGTGTTTTTCTTGAGGTTTTAAGGCCTGGTAATTAGTAAAACAATTTTAATATAACCATCCTCCATGCCCTTGCAGAAGACAGCTGATGGAATCCATCTGCCAAAGGATGAATACAGATGGAACACTCCTTTTGGTGATGCCAAACTTGGGATTTCAGTGAGAGAAGCTAAAGAAATATCAACACTTATCTGAGAATGGAACATCACTGAAGTTCAGAAGAAAAGAGGTACATTTGACAAACAAAAAAAGGATGCCAAATTGGGTTATATCCATTTAACCATTCACATCAAGAGAAAATAAATGGCTACCCCATTGTACAATGCATGCATCAATGTAAGGTATAGTAAAGGTTTGGTTGCAGTTTCTACAGAAACTGAAGAAACATAAAAATATCCAATTATAATGTCACTGCATCTATGGATTATTAGTAAAGACCTTTTATCTTTTAAAACAAACTAAATTATTGTGAATAACTAGATACAAATAAAGTGTTTCATGTTTTCATGAGAAATTATGGCAAAAGACATAACCCTTCTATGTGAGTTGGTCACAAGCTACTCAAAACTAATTCACAGTACAAGTAGAAAGAAGGCAGAAGAAGAATTTGGAGCTGAAGTAAAATTGTTACTGTCATATTTACTGGAGTCACTTTTTAAACTCCTTTTTGATCTTGAACCTCTGTTTTAAGATTCCACTCCAAATTCTTATGAGGGACCAAAAAGGCCTGTACAATGCATAAGAAAACAAATTAATGGCCAACAGCAATGAAAGTGTAGCTATAACATCACACTGAAGAGTAGCATAGCTTTTAATTTTTTTCTCAAGCATCGTGAAATTATATTAAAAAAAAGAAATTCCAACAGAGTCTCAGGTACAAGAGAGATAAATAAATATAGACCACACTATAGAAAAGTAACAATATTTTCCAGATTTAATTTAATTTTCTTTTGGTAGTTAAAAATATTATATATACAAAGAAGCTGAGCTGTCTTACAATTCATACCTGCACTTTGGAAGTGTATATGCCATCAGCACTTGGAGAGGGAGATTTCTGTATAAAGAGATCATAAACATCTGCCAGATGCCACATACCTAAGAAAATACAAAATCAAGTGCCAAACATCCCCTCATATTCTCAAATCCCAAAGATTATTGGGAACTTCAAGGAAATAGAAGTGACAGAGATCGGTGTCCATGTGGAAAACATGTCTTGTAATCAATGAATAAAATCCTTATTTCCAGATCAAAGTTTATATATCTGTTCCAGGGATAATTCCAGGAAAAAACTCATGCCCTCGGCGCCACCCTCCACTTCCCACCCTCTTGCCCATGTATACATATATTGGATCTGAATCAAAATCCTGAGTCTGTTGGACAAACTGTGGCATCTGGACTGCTCTCCAAAATGCAGCAACATTTTGAAAGAGTAATGATAACATTTGGTGATTGCATGAATATATTTTGACTATTCAGTAGCCCAAGGACACAGTTTAACTGGTGGTTACAGACAGGCACTTTGTTTAGACACACCAAGTGGTAATTGCTCTAACAGAATATCTGCAGAGACCAGGCCATCAACTATAAATTGCACCCTCTTTTATATTTTCGTATTCAAAATTCACTACCATTCAACTGCTGCTTTGGTAGAGAGGTATTTCAGCTTGTGTGCACTTCAATCACATTTACTTTTACCTTGCAAGTAGCTCTTGCAACTGGTCGCTTTCCCTGTGTGTTTTCATGTAAGCTTTAAGTGCATATATATTTTATCATATAATCTATATTATAATCTTAGCATATCATAAGTTGTATATTATTTATTATATATTATATGTTACATATTATATATTACTATAAACCCAATGCTTTCACTAATTTATTGTAACTAAGACTATATTACATATAGCAATGTTAACTTTGCTAACTGTTGACAGACTGGACATTCTGCAAGCGAAAGGAGTGGAGTGGTGCAACAGCAAGTAAACCACAGTATCTACAGAGTGAAATTCCCTCTCTTACCAAAAATGTATAGCTTTGAGATACATTTCTGACTGACTACATACCTGGGATGAAAATACTAGCTATGACTCGCTGTACTGGGTTTGTGCGGCCAGGTTTTGGGAAGGGGGGTAATGTACAGGGATGGCTTCTGTGAGAGGCTTCTAGAAGCTTTGGCAAATCCATGTTGACTACTCCTGATGACTTTCTTGTCCTTGTGAAATGTGCCTGGAAAATGCCATCCAGGATTAGCTGCTCCATCACCTCTCCATGGATTGAGGTGAGGCTGACTTGCCTGCAGTTCCTGGGATCCTCCTTGCCTTTCTTGAACATAGGAGTGATATTTGCCTTCCTCCAGTCCTCAAGCACTTCTCTCAGACACCCAAGGATTATTGACAGTGGCCTCATGATGACATCAGCAAGCTGCCTCAGCACTCGTGGGTGCATCCAATCACTGCCTGTGGACTTATGTATGTCCAGTTTGCATATTCCCTGACCAGATTCTCTTTCAGAAAGGGTATGCATTCCTTGCTCCAGCCTTTCCCTTTGGTCTCTGGGACCTGGGATTTCTGAAGGTTGGCTCTTGCAGTAAAGAATGGGAAAAAAAACCCTTTTCCATGTTCTGTACCATCAGGCTCTCTGCCTCGTGCAGCAATGGGTTCACGTTTTCTGTAGTCTTTCTTTTGTGATCTATGCATAACCAGAAGTCCTTCTGGTTACCTTGGATATCTCTTGCCAGATTCAATTCCATTTGGGCTTCAACTTTTCTAACTTCATCTCTGCATGCTCAAGACAATGTTTCTGTGTTTCTCCCAGGTTACCTATCCCTGCTTTTGTCTTCTACATGCTTCTTTTCTGCATCTGAGTTTTGCCTAAAGCTTCTTGTTCATCCAAGCAAACCTCCTGGCATTTTTACCTGACTTCCTACTCATTGGAATGGACTACTCTTGTGTTTGAAGGAGATGAATTTTTAATATTAAACAGTTTTTGGGCCCAAATATAATAGAAAACTAGCAGTCCTGGATGAGAAGAAAGTGGTAAAAACAGCCCTTTTACCTTAAAGTGTTAAAAATTGTCACAAAGTCTCAGTTCACCTTTCTTATGATAAATAGCCTTGTATAGGATGCTTCATACCAGTGCAGTGGCACAGGTTAGTCATATAGCTGATGACTTCAAATCACAAGTATTTGCTATTTGCAGAAATCTTAGGTCACATAAAACAATTCTAGTTTATTTGCATACTAACAAGGTTTCAGTAGAAGTGAACTGTTTGAAGAAGAAAGGGATTACTGAATAATAAATTGTTACTATAACTGTTTGTCTACTGAATCAGAATGATAAACCTAAACGGTTTTGTGAGGACCTTCACAGGATATACAACATTATTTCTGATACTTAGTCTTCAAACCCACAACAGATTAGCACTTTTCACACATTTCTTTAGCTGAATTAGTGGTCAGAATACTTCTGTCAAAGATCAGCTTCTTTAGTATGAGGTGCTTAGTTAAAGAAAGGAAACATAATTTACCTTCCAAAACCCAAAGATTTCTGATTGGTCAAGGACTAACCATCAGGAATTGTTTCATACACACACACACACACACACACACACTGCACATCTCTCTTTCAGCACATGTCAACTGCTGGTTCCTAAATATACAGTCTTTCAGTTTAAATAGTCTTTGAAATTCCTGTAAGAGAGTGCAAGCCCTCAGTAACTTAACTACCTTTTCCAACATTCAAGTCACAAAAAGCACAAAGGAAGAGAACAAAACACACTGCCTATATGCATCTTGGTGAACTACACCTAACACATTTAGGCACTGCAGAGGATGAGAGCTGAAGGTTTTCCATGCACCAGCCGGGAATCGAACCCAGGTCACAAGAATGGGAATCTTGCATGATACCACTACACCACTGGTGCTTCCCTGCAGTCTCAAGATAATCAAATGAGAAGTCATTCAGTGTCATTTCACTCTAATCTACCCCAATGGATCTAATAACAATAACCTCAGTTACCCTGGCCCAGAGGCAGGTCAAAGCAAGGACTATGTAGGAAAAAGAATTCTCTACCAGAAAAAAAAAAATTACCTTAAGAACGTAACACATACCCTAAAATACTGACAAAACGTCAGTGACAATTAACTATTCACCTTGCCCAGGGAAGTTTTGAAATAGCCAACATGGAAAACCCTAAACATTTCATCTCTTTGTTTCTTAAAATGTGTATAAGTAGAGCAAATCTTCTTTTGCGGAAGGCAGTGATTAAATGGCTTCAGAGACTCCTGCCAAAATGTCTCTGTTATAAAAAGACTTAAATTTCAAAACACCAAAGCCAAGAGAGTATTTCATCTGAACAGTGCAGAGTAAGCAGATGTGTGCTGAAGCTGTAAAGAAATGAAAGGAACCAAACAACAACTGTTCCGTTCTGATTTCCTATACCTTTCACATGCAGCAAAATTGTTTTGATGAATACAAGGCTACCCATGACCCTAGAAGTCAAAACACTTCAAGTGAGGAGGCAGGAGGAACATAAATATTCTAAGCAGAAAGCAAGTGGACTGCAGCTGAAAGTAGTTCTTTAGTGCAATGTGTACGCTCTATGTACAGGTGTTGAAACTTTTATCACAGCTTCTGCAGCTTACTCAGGAACTCTGTCCCCATTTGAGAAGCATACTAAGCATTTGATTTTTCCTTTCCTAAGCTTTCATATATTTAGCAACTGTGCATAGCATGCAGACCTGAGATTTTCTGATCTAACAGGATCTCTAAGACACTGTCTTCATGGGAAACAGGTTAATATCAGGTCAGATGAACTGGGTTTCCCCAGCTTCTTTCATTCAAGATGTTTAAAGTAATATGAAGGAAAGGTAACACAGATAGGGAGAGAGTGTTCATATGGACAACAAATCCCAGAGTATTCAAGTAACTAGAATTTTTTTTTTGCCCCACCCAAATTTGCATAAACTTTGTATTTTAGTTCCTTCTAAAATCAGTCTTGGAATACTTTGTGAAAAAAATGAATTCATGGCCATTTTCCCAAAGGCAGCTGTATTTCTGGATGCCTCTACACAGCACTCAACATCAGTGTGTGTGACAATTTCCTTATCAACTATAAAAAGCAGACCCCCTTCAACAGACTTATAAAACATATTGAGAAAATATGATAGACATTTTAGAAGACAGGAAGTGAGACTATTTAAACTGCACATGCCTGTGGAATCTCAGGTGAGAACAAGATGCATTTCTTATATGTACTGCATGTTCTAAATGCAACTATGCAAGGAAAGATACACTGCCAACCTTTCTAGGAGAAACATTAGCAGACAATTCTCTATTTTGCAGCTTTGTAGGAAGTGGACAGTCACTCTTTTTTAGTCCTGCTGAAGTAGCCTGTCAGGGCTCCGTCAGGATACATACAGTTAATCAAAACAAGCACTCAAATTCTTAGACTAACATGAGACAGTGTGTTGACCCCTCTACTATATTTAGATATAGCCTTTGGTTAAAACACTTCTTATTCAATCAAGAGCTCCAAAAACATAAAAGATGGCTTTCAAATAAAAAGACCTACAAACAACCTTCTTCATTTGTCCTCTTGGTAACATGTAAGAGGAATAAACACACCTTCTAACTTTTAGGAGGGATTAGCAATTGTTTTCTCCTTTAAGATCTGATGTGTTACATCCTAGGTTAGTGGTCTTGAAAGTAGAATTGAAAGAGTGAAAGGTTCAGATAAAATACCATTACAGAAAACCCTTCAAAGAGTAAACTTAATTTATCATAAGAAAGAAATAAATAGAAATCTGAGATTGTATTAGGCTAACTAAGAATCCTGTTTTTCCACTTAAGCAAGATTTAAAAGGTAATATTTCTGAACTGAATTATATGTTCAGCCTAAACTCATTATTTCCTGGGACTATATTAAATGGTAGTCTGAAAAGATATTTCCTCTTCAAAGGATAGCTTTAGATCATCCTTTGAAAACATAAATAGACTTAGCTCCTGGAATCCTTCATTGCCTGGAATTTGTCATAACCATTCACTCTGTCTTGAATCTGAACTTTCACAGGCATTTCATGAATTGTTGAACATGTAGAAGGACAATAATCAGGGTATACTCACAACTATACTAATTATGTATGAAATAGATAACGTTCCAAGGATTTCTCTTGTGGATGTGCCCAGTCTTTCTAGGATTCCTTAAAGTTTTAGTGTTCAAGATGGTCTCAAGTAATAACGTTTCTCAAACCTGTTTTCCAAGAACTCTCTTTAAATCCTGGTTCTCCGCATTTGTCTGTGTATGTCCTTACAAATCTGAGTTTTCTCTTTCAGTTTATCAGTTAATACCTCCAAAATGGGTAAGGTCTCTCTCCATTATGGCAAGTATGATGAAATAAAAATTTTATCCTTCAAGAAAGATATCAATGAAATTAAAAATAATAAATTTGGAAAGCTCCATCACTAATTTTAAAATGTTCTAATAATCCATTAAGTAGCTCCATCAACATCAGAACTAATGAAGCCTGGTTTATTATCCATTTGTGTCCCATCATTGATTTACTTTGGAATTTTAAGGTATGAGCTCTGACTTGGACCATTAATAAGAAGTATGGACATAGCTCCTCCTTTCTTTGATCTTTTTATCCCCTCCCTTTTCCGATAATTCTTGTATGGCATTTTTGGGATCTAGTAAGGAATGCTTTCATGCTGACAAGATGCATTTATTCTACTCTGTCATCAATTTCTACAAAACTTGTAAGAATCTAATTATCTTAAAGAACTTTTCAGATTACTTTGCTGAAATCAGACAATAAAATCCAAAGTTTCTGGGACGATAAAGAAGGTAACCAGTCAGCTACATAAAGCTAGCATACACCTAGGGTCCAAAGGCAGAAGAAACTAAAAGATTTTTTGTTTTATTACAAATGCACTGAGAATATTATGTACAATATAAAGTGTAGCTATTTGGAATCAATAAAACGAAGAGTTACAAAACATGGGTGCATAGTATCTTACAAGAATTCAAAGAAAATAGAGAAAAACAGTATTTCAAAGTCTGTATTAATAAATATCATATATGAAAAAAAATTATAAAAGTTTTTACCAAAATATTTTTGGGACTGAGGTTTCTGTTAAAGAAAAAAAGAATTTCGGAAACATCCTCATTGTATGGATTTTGTCTTTTGCATAATTTTAGCTATTTTTCTTTTAAGTAAAGATTAGAAAATTTGAATGATAAATTTCAGCCTAAAGTGATTTGAAATTACTCTCAACATGTAAAACACTCTAAGAAATATAATGCTCCAACCCTGATCGTGTTCAAGACCAGGTTGGATGGGGCTTTGAGCAAATTGGACTAGTGAAAGGTGTCCCTGCCCATGGCAGGGGGCTGGACGTAGATGATCCTTAAGGTCCCTTCCAGCCCAAACCATTCTATGATTCTGAGTCAAAATACACTTCAGGGGAAGTGTGAGAAAGACTTTGCAGGAGAAATTAGCTACATCTACAGAGGAGAAAACCACAACTGAGTAAGTATGAGCAGAATGTCCCAGTTTTTAAATTGCTAATACATAGGAAAAACACTATGCAGAAATGTTTTTTCCTCTTCCAATGTTTTTAGAGCAAACATTTTGACAGGAATGACTTGAAATACTGTCACACTGTGCAGTTAATTAACGAAGACAAAAGAATAAAGGATTAATAGTTAAGTATGAGATCAATTTTATAAGAAGGGTTACTTCTAATCTTTGAAAAGCAAAGCCCATGTAGATACAGAAAATAAATTTAATGCATACAGATATCTTTTGTAATGTAAATCTGAGTAACATGATAAAAGAAAACTCAGAGCTGTCCTTACAGTGTCAAAGTTGAAACACTCCTAATAGGTCATATATAAAGTTTAAAAACCAGCATGAATTAAAAAAAGAGAAGAGCTAGGAAAAACAATGCTGAAAAACATTAGTTCACATCCCTCATTCTGTCTTCAGACTTATTGCTGTATGTGACAATTGTCATAATTTGGATCCAGTTCAAACCCCACTGAAGTCACTAACAAATAAATCCAATATTTTTCCTATTCCTAAAATATCTCCATTACCTCAGCAACTTCTGCATGATGATTAGAAGAATCACTTTGAGCTTTCTGAATATCACTATTATTTATAAATATTTATTCAGTTCATTGATGTAGCCACCTTTTTGGAGAAAATTGAAAATAGCAAATCAGCTTTACACTAAACTTAACTGTGGTTCACCTTTAGCATAAACTAAGGCGGCCACCTAATGGAGCAGTTCCATGCTCCACCTTATCACTGTTGTGCATCTCTCTCTCTCTCTTGTGTTGGTCTTAATACCCAGGTAGTACATGCTGAAGTAACCTTCTCTTAGGTGGATAATCTTACAGGGCTAATTGAGCTTCATCTGCCAGGGTTTGAAATTAGAGTTGTCCTGCTCCCAAGTTCCTCAAAATGATCATCTCACTTCATGAGGACCAGCACGGCCAAGTCAGATATGGCCATGCACTTTCTGAGCCATTTCCAATAGCCAATGGTGTGAAGCAAGGTTGTGTTCTTGCACCAATTCTATTCACAATCTTTTTCAGCATGATGCTCCAAAGGGCCACGGCAGACCTCGATGATGAAAATGGTGTCTACATTCGATATCGTACTGATGGGAACCTATTCAACCTAAGGTGACTGAAGGTCCACACTAAGACCTTAAATCATCTTGTCCTTGAGCTGCTTTACACTGATGATGCCGCCCTCGTCACCCACACAGAAGCAGCTCTGCAGAGTTTAACATCCTGCTTTGCAGAGGCAGATGAACTTTTTGGTCTGGAAGTCAGCTTGAAAAAGACAGAAGTTTTCTCTCACCCTGCACCTCAGGAAGTCTTCCATCATCCCCATATCACCATTGGTGAAACAGAGCTCAAATCAGCAGTTTAATTACCTGGGAAGCATCATCTCCTCAGATGGTAAGATTGATGCTGAAATAGACAACAGGTTAGCAAAGGCATACAGAGCTTTTGATAACTCCGTAGAAGAGAGTGGCAAAACAAACACCTCAAGAGAAGTACAAAGATCAGCATTTACAGAGCCATTACACTGTCTACTCTTTTATATGGGTCTGAATCATGGGTCATTTACCACCACCACTTGCGTCTCTTAGAACGCTTCCATCAGCGCTGCCTCCATACAATCCTTAACATCCGCAGGATGGATTATGTGACCAACACATCTGTCCTTGAACAGGCAGCAGTCACGAGCATTGAGGCCATGCTGCTGAGAACTCAGCTGCGCTGGGCAGGGCACGTCTCCAGGATGCAGGACCATCGCCTCCCTAAGATCGTGCTATATGGGGAACTTGCCACTGGCTGCCGCAAGAGGGGAGCCCCGAAGAGGAGATACAAGGACTGCCTGAAACAATCCCTCAGCCTTGGCCATATTGATCATCACCACTGGTCTACCCTGGCCTCCAACTGGGAGGCCTGGAGACAAACTATCTATAACACTGCTGCTGCTTTTGAGAACACACGCAGGATCGCTCCCAAGGAGAAAAGACAACGCAGAAAGAATCGCGTCTTGTTGATACCACCTGGGGAGTCTTTCTGCTGTACCTTCTGCAACTGGACTTGTCTATCTCGCATTGGCCTTTTTAGCCATCAGCGTGCTTGTAGGAAGCGTGAGTAGAGGCTTTCCCAAATATTCATTCAGGAAGCCTAGCCATGATAATGGACATGCTGAAGTATTCCAGGTCATCAAACACAGCTGGAAACACATGAAAAAAGAAAAACAAAAGGGGAAAAAAAAAAAAAAAAGGTTTACTAATAAGTATTAGCTCTATTTGAATATAGTTGTGTTCTAGTTATCAGTTGGTAGCTATTGCTGGCATCAGTAACAGGAAGAAAACTGTAATACACAGCTGGAAAAAACCAGCAAGAACATGCCCATTGGTGGCTGTCGTATGACTGTATCTTTACTTTTGCAGGGCGACTGCCTTGCTGTTTGTTTTTATTTTTTTAATTAAGATCTGGGCTTGTTTGGAACATTCAGCTTCTCAGAAATCCTCCATCTGTATTCTGGATTCCACTTGAGCCTTGGCAAGACCCAGCTATCTAGATGCACAAGCCACAGTTGTACTGGGCATATACAAAAGAAAGGTTTTCATATTCTATTTACACTTGTTTATATACATATACATACATATAGAAAAAACTGCAGGTTCTGTTGTGGGCATCTAAATCCTGTTCTAGGCATTTTCTACTGGTTCCACACATAAAGCTGTCAATCAACTGAAAATCAGTCAGGCAGTGTGAGGAACTCCAGATTTTAGACTGCGAAGTATAAAATTTCAAAGTGAATTCTAGACAAATATAGCAGAAAACATAGGAATTTTAAGTAAAATAGAGTATCACTATGCATGCTGTAGAAGTATCACATGCCATCTCAGGTCACAAAATCTGATAATTCCAGAGGACGCTTATGCTGTCCCACTAAACGTACACTTTCTTCCAGATGATTTAAGAATATAAGTGATATTAAGCAGATATGCATCCAGTGATTAAAAATATCCAGGTCACTTACAGGACTGTAAGATGTTTATGATATTTTTAATAATTAAAGCTGAAAAAATAATACTAAAACAAAATAATGAACAAGAGAGTTCTATAGAATCTATCAGTTCTTATTTTTAAATCCATATTTGTATTTTAACTTTTACAGAGGACCTTAACTCTTAAAGATACAAAATATTCAGGCATTCATGTACTTTTCAATAAAAGATACTCATTTACTTGCTTGTTTATAAATATTCAAGACTCACTTTGCTGTTCCAACATTTTGCATCTTCCTGGATTTCTGCTTTTTGCTTCACTAACTCCTCAAGGTGTTTTTCATCCTTTATAATCTTCTCCTCTGTTTCTTTTAACTTCATACAGTATTCGGTCCAAATAAATTCAAAATGCTTTAACTCATTCCTAATAGAAATACACACAAAGTGAATCCATCTATTTGGAATTATTCCAAGGTAGTCCCTCTCCATAAAGGAAAATGTAAATCAGATCTGAATTAGTAAAGATTTATTTTGATTCTCTACTTCGTTTCTTGAACAGGTAAGCATGAGAGAATTTCAAAATATCTACCCTGGCAGATTCATGCAGTTTCAGCCAGATATCAAAACTACTCATGCTACCAGTTCACTTGCACCTAAACAGCCTGCCAACATTAGATCTTTGTGCAAGTATTGGTGTAGCTATACACAAGGCTTTGTTTCATACCTCACATGTTTATGAAACAAAGTAAGAGTCAACACGGCTAGTGGGTGAATTTACTTCAGAACCATCTTCACTTAATCAACCGACTTCACTGTAATTTTGTGGTCAAATGCCATTTGTGAAGCAAATTTTTTACTGACATCAGTTTTTCACGTTAAAAGAGACTTGTAGGCAATGTCAAAGCAGAGGATAAGGACTTCCACTCTAAATAGCAGATTTAACAGCATTGTAAGAAGGAAAACTTGCCATAATTACAGATCAAGATAATAATAACTGCAACAGTTGTCAGGACACATTTAGTCCTTATTATACGTTAAAAAAAAGGCCTTTTGTTATATCTCTGGATGTGAGTCAATTTGACAAAAGGCAAAAGAAACAGAGGGATATCAGGTTAAAATTTAAAAATGGCTGCTCGTGTTTGTATCTTATTTTTAATATTGTTTCAGCAGGCAGAAAAAATGTTCCCTCTATGCTCCCTAGAGAACTATTCTGGTCAATAACATATACAAAAGTGTGTCTTAAATGGCAAAACAAATCCACCACAACAGAACTAAGACCAATAGTGGTTGAATTTTACAGATGTCTATTGCATTAAAACCGAAAAAATCCTGAACAAGTGTTGCATACTTAGTGCAGTTAAGACAACAGAACACAAAAATAAAGAGGCTTTATCACTAATTCAAGAGCCATTCCTACAAGATTATTTTATAGATACTCTTCCTTTACTTGCTTCCGAGGTTTCATCTAGTGATGAAGTCAAGACTTACCTTGTGAAGTGTCACAGAATATATTTTTAGCAACTTTCAGAGTTGTAGTTTTCTCATGAAAAATTATAGCACTATCAGCCACAACGTGTATGTGTAAAAGTAACAGCCTGTGCTGTATGATGTACAACAGCCTCAGTATTTTTAGTTTTGTGCAATCTTCATCATTTTCTCAGTGATGGCACTGAACATAAAGAAAAGAGTATGAACTGCAGAACAGTCTTTCAAATCTGTGCCACCACAAATCTGTCTTTCTCACACCTGTCGATACCACATGTTATTCTAGTCCTCCTCAGATGGCAGCTGAAAGGTCTACTTTCTCTGTAATGCAAGCATGACTTTAACTACCAGTCTAGCAAATAGCTGGAAAAAAATTACCAGACATAGTAAAAAAAAACTAAAAATTAAATTTTTCACTGAGGTATAGAAAGAACAGATTTCTATTTTTTGCCCCAAATACTGATATTCCTAAAAACATCCTTGTAATTAGCATTTTTAGTTTAATTCACAGTCACACAAAATAGGTTGCAAGGCGCAGTCTACATCACTGTCATGGGATATGAATAGGAAATCATCTAACCAGGTGAAACAGAAAACATACATGGCATATTTCTGTCAGTACAGATGATTAATTTCTGGTATTATTTACCTATTGCCATTATCATGGGTATTTTACTTGCATTATAACTTCTTTCAAAAGAACAAAAGAACAAAGAAATTTTAATGCACCTCAGAACAAAGGCTTGTTACAGGAAAACACCACACTTTCTTTCTTGCACATGAAACAGTCTCCAGAGCCTTGATTTGCACCAAGACTACCAAAACAAAACAGAAAAACTGCTCATGTTGCCCTATAATGGCTAAGCAAGCTGACAGCTGTGACACAGTGACAGAATTCTAGAGGAAACTGAACAAAATCTTGTACAAAAGACTTTTAAAGAGTGAAGTAGTCAGAAGGCAAGGTGAAAAATACTAATACCAGTAAAAAATGCAGAATTAAGATTAAATGATCAATTTTCATTGAAAGAATAGATCAACAGCATGGCATCTCAAAATTCCATCTCTATTTCTTTGATATATCTATTAATTATGTGAAAGGGCAATGAGTAGTTAAATTAAAAGTCTGCGTATAATGTGATTACAATAGGCAAGGCCAAACCAAACAAAAATCTTAAGAAAACTTTCAAGACTAAGTAAATGGGTAGCAAAAGAATACACATCATTTAGTGTCCAAACTCAAAAAGAAGTACAAGATCAGAGAAATTAAGTACATTTAAAGTTTTAAATTAAGAAACATATGTATGTATTTCCACAAACAGGTAGAAGGTCTACTCAATATTTAGCAACGTTGAAGAAGCTAAAAAGATGAAATTAAGTAAGAAATGGGATAGAAAACATTAGGAAAAAAAGAGAGTAATATGTTCATCTTTAAGTCAGTGACACAGCTTAATTTGGAATACTGTTTTAATTACCTTTCAACCCATCTCAGAGAAGTACATCACAGTAATGATAAGGAATCAGAGGACATCACAAAAAGGCCATAAAATTTAGAGGTTTTCTGAAAGCACATTGAACATAATGAAAGTTGCTTTAGAAAAAAGAAAGGAGGAATGAACAAAGTGCTAAGTCACGGAGAGTATAGCCTAGTGAAGAAGGTTAACAATACACAGCAGTATTTATTATTGCATACATCTTAAGGCTTAGACTCCCAAACTACAGCAGTTTCCTTACAAGGGGACAAAAACACGTAGCTGTTGATCCCACTCTGTAAATATGAATTGATAAGGAAAAAAAGTTTAATCGTAGGTATAGGATGGAATGGTAAAAAAAAGAAAGAAAGAAAAATAGAAAAGAAAGTATACTTTAAAAATTTTTTTATTCTGGTATTATATGATAAAATCACCTCTAGCAATGGTCACTATAACCATTGCTAACAACTTTTGCCAGTAGCTTCTAATTCAGACGAGTTGATAGAACATTGAATATGCCAGTGAAACACTAAACTAACTTGTAGAGTATCTGAATACATAGTAATAAATTACACAACGGTTTTGATAATACTTTTTACTCAGTACCTGATCTTTCCCATAATTAAAAGCAACATGAGGTTTGCAAGGAACTTAACAAGTTACAGAATCAAGGTCCATGCTGTCTGATTTCTCTCAGCTGGAACCCATAAAGGAGATAATGAGTATTTGATCAGATCATCTCTATATACATATTTAAGATATAATTAAAATTCCAAACATTGTGGAGACATTGCGAAGCTTGCATTCACAGGCTCATATACATCAAAAATGTATTATTTTACACGCCTCTTCTTTTGCTTAGACATACATAGTGACATTAATTGGAGAATTATTTTCAGAAGTCAGTCTAGCTTTGACAAGTGTTATGACAAAATTCTGGTTTCAGGGTTTGTATAATAAAATACTTCCAATTTAGCGAAATCTCTGACTATGATTTTAATTTTTGATATACTAATATTCTTTCCTGAATGCAAATTAAGGCTCTGAAATTAAGAGGTTAAGCTTTAGTAACTAAAAATAAATGTATTGATTGTGAATTTACCTTAGAGGTAAAAAATATATAATTAGCATAAATACCTCTAATATAATGTCAAAATTATCCTGAATTCAATAAAAATAAGACCAAGAAATCCACTGTTAAGCTTAGAATAAAAAGAAAAAGGCATGGTGACAATAGAAATAAGTCAGAGAGACACACTGAGATCTCTAGTATTGCTAAGCTATCCCTCTTACAGAAAAATACAATTTTTAATCCTACACTGAACTCATCCTTTCTGAGACACAGACATTTTGGATTGTATTACAAGTGCATAGACATCTTATGAGTGCAAGACTAGAATTTCTTGAGCAGTAACAACATTTGAGTAAACTCATGTTACCCAGGATGCCTCCTGCTCCCATATTAAGGTATGAACATATTATAAAAGGAGCTATGATCCTTCTTTAGTTCTGCTGTTTAATGCCAATGACAAAGAGATCCACAGTGATGTGACAACTTAAAGAAACAGTATTATTGCATCTAAACAACCTTCCTTTGTTCAGGACTGTGTCAGCAACTTTTCTGCTTTAGCTGACTATCAAGCACAGATGCCCCTGGATAGCAGACATCAAAAGGATCAGTCATATTAGCCAAAGTAAGGTTTTCCTGATGTTGATAGTTACCATAAAATACACTGTAGGAGTGCTCTGTTTTGCGAAGGTCAATGTTACTTTGTGCTTCAAGGCTTATTAATTGTCAATATTCTGAAGCAGGCAGCAAGTACGCCTTCTGCGGGACTGAAAGATGTTTCAAGTTCCTGAGCACTAATCAGTTTTTGAAATAAAGTTGCCAAATGTTATAATCTAAAGAAACTGGAAATGATACAACCAACCCCCCATTTTAATCAGGTGCAGCTCTTTACTGTGGCGCATTGAGCACTATAAACGGTAAGCGAAACCATCACATTTAGTAATTACAGTTATTTCTTGAAGAAAGCACTTGAAAGAAAATTCAAAGAAGAGAAAATGTCTACAGCCACAATGACCTCTTCTTTATGCCCCTCTGAGAGTGGGTCCTTTCATGGAGGGGGCCAAGGCACCCCCAAATTCTACTGTATTTTATTCTACCACATATTGCAAAAGCAGTTGACATAAATGCTAAATAGTTCCTATTTGGTACATCAAATAAAGACATTTCACTGACTGAATGCAAGAATTACAATGGGCTGTGTATAAGTATACTGGTTTTGGCTGGGATACAATTAATATTCTTTATAGTAGCTTGTAGGGTGCTATGTTTTGGGTTTGTGCTGGAAACAGTGCTGATAACACAGGAATGTTAGCAGTGTTTACACGGAGTAAAGGCTACACCTCACCTCACCAGTAAGCAGGCTGGATGGCACAAGGAATTAGGAGGGGACACAGCTTGAACAGCTGACCCCAAATGACCAAAGGAATATTCCATAGCATATGCTCAGATGCGATGGAGATTGGCTTTCGTGGAGACGACTGAACATCTACCTGCCCATGACAGGTGAATGCCCATGAATGAATTCCTTGTTTTGCTTTGCTTGTGTGTGTGTGGCTTTTGTTTTTTTCTATTGAACTGTATTTATTTAAACATATGAGTTTTTTCACTTTTACCCTTCTGCTTCTCCACACCATCCTGGCTCAGAAGAAGTGAACAAGAGGGCGGCTGTGTTCAGCCGCCTACTGGGGTTAAACCATGACAATAAATTATTCAGATTGCTTACTTCCTGTCTTTTTAGAAAGTATGGCAAGCATGCTGCTGGCCTGTAAACAACAAAAATTACCACATTTATTTCTGACAGTAACAACTTCTAGAGTTCAGTGTTTTCTTGGCAAAGATGGGTTGATGTGTGGCACAAGATTCTTAGATACATGCAGATGAGAATCGTCTTTGGCAAACAGGCATCCAGTGAGCAGAAGTGAATAACAGCTTTTACAGGTATTCCACCTGTGCTGGGGGTAGAAGTAGCTCTTGTAGTTCATAGTCACATTTGGAAGCATAAAGGGTGCCACAGTGTTCTGGAATCACCCAATTGTCTAGCAGACACAGATGGCCAATCTCTTAGAGAATATAATACTGCTGCCAGGAACTTTATGAAATTCCTCTGTTTATCCAATAAACATAATTCTCCTCCACAAATGATCAGGGAGTATATTGTGTTCACAATACTTCCTGCGAGCTGAGTGGATCAGTATATGGAAACAGACACCCTGCAGTAAGAGAATTGCAGTGTCTTCGTTTTGAAGAGACATGGCGCTAACCTGAGAAGATAAATGGATCCTCAGATAACAGATAGCCTTCCAAAGTCCTCATTTCCTAAAAAAAAAATAATTTCAGTAACAAGAAACTTCAGCTCTATAATTGCTACTTTACAGCTCTTAGTAAAATAATGAGGCCAACTCCGTGGTGAATTTGAATGAAAATGGTGCTTTAGAAGAGACAGGGAATGGGAGTTACATGGGACAGTCCCTTGAAATGGATGAGAAATTAACATTTACTGAAATAAGGTTACAAAGGACACGAGTTTGCACGTACAACTCAGCCATTAGCATTAGTCTTACTTCCTTGAATGAAGCATCAGTGAGCAGGACAGGTTTTTAGCCACTGCTGTACATGAGGCACTTTATAACATTAACCCTCTGGAACGCCAGAACTGTGCATGCTGACCCATCTCAGGTAGGGCGTAGCACAACTTGAATTATGGAACTGGCATATAAATTCCCAGTGAACCCCAGTAGTTCTGAATGAGTAAGATGGGCCAAATTTCATGACTTATATGAAATTTATATACTCCATAACTACCATCAAGGGGTTTTGAAAAACCTGCTATGGACACTCAGGTTTATTTTGAAAATTTACTGATGTCTTTCAATTATGCCTGTAAGCCTTCCTCACCTCAAATGGAAAAGAGCCACTGTGTCACTTGCTACCTTGCCAAATAAAACCTGGCATCGAGGCATCGGCATATGGAGCAAAGTCAAGTGCAACCTCCTACCAAATATCAAAGTACTTGGTATTCTTGTTCTTTGGCATAGTTATTCTTGGTGTTGACTCTATCTGTATATTCAGCAATAGAAAGGAGAGAATTCTTGTCACTGACTGCTTATTAGCAGTGTGCAATTGTTACTATTGCTTACTTAATAATCCAAGGGTCAGTTCTTTTCGTTGCCTTTTGTATTTCCATCAGTTCCCAATGAACATCACTGTATATTTTTGATACCTAAGAAAATAAAACAAGTTTTCTGAAAGATGTTATATAAAAGTCATACATAATGTTTAAAAGAAAAATATAACTTCATGATTTGACTGATCCTTGCAAGTTTAAAAAATTATGTTTAAAGGTGAAGTCCCAGGAAAAACAAGAGAACATGTTGTAAAATTACATAATATAATGAAATGTTAGCAAGAGGTTTTTCATTCTGTTACAAAACTTTGGAATCATTTTGAAAAGGTGGCTACTTTCATGGGAAGATAGTGACCTCTGGAGCAGAAAGAAAGAAATAATGTGCAAAGAAGCCACTGAGGTTTCAGTCAGGAATCCGACAAAATCATAGCTGAAACATGTAACAGAAGCTGTGCAAGCCTGTCAGTCACCTTTGTAAAGAAGGAGCCTGAGACAATGCTGACAGTGACTGCAATTTTCAATGTTTTTAATAGTATTGGGGCAGTCAGTTTGTAACTCTCAAATAGAGATATGGACATCTGTTGCCTCTGCCTTTTAAAATATTACAAATATAAACAAATAATATAAAATCTTTATTGTAATCTAGCATGTCACTGCTTAAATCAGTTCTCTGGATTTTAAAAAACAGACTGAATATTAAATAATTGTTTAATTGCAAACAAAACTAAATATCATCTGCTTTTTTAAGACTGTGGGAGGAAAAACCAAAGCTGAGTAACTAACTACATGAATTGTAGCACAATAAAAGCACAGAAAATTTACTTGACAATTAGAAATTCTGTTGAAATTAAATATATAAATAAGATAAACACATATATATAAATGCTCATAAATAAATAGATACAAATACAGTAACACCAAATCTATCATCTTATGATATGCAGAAAAAACTGCTCTAAAAAAAAGGTATTTATTCAAAATAGTTTTTAGGAAAAAATATTTTAGGTCTATTTGTGGAGCTGTATTTTAGTACATCTCAATATTTTAATTGCATACAATATATTTTAAGGTATTAAAAAGAAAAAAGGTTACAAAATTAAAAAAAGTTACCAACTTGGTTTTTAATTAGTATTTCAAATATATCTCTTAGCACTGATAGGAGACTGTGAGCTGTTTCATAAGTTAGAACTAATTCATGATAATTCTCATACTATTTGTGTCATAGGCAATCAACTTTTTCATTTTAGAAGTATTTTGGCCTGACTGTAGAGTTATCCAAATATGAAATAAAATTAATTAAAAGAAACAATATTATGAATCACCTACAAAAAAAGAGATTTTTAAAAAACTGTAGATACCTTGAAAAAGACATTACATTCTAGATTTGTTACATAGAAAATATATAGAAAACATAATAATTATCACTAACATCTGAACTTGAACAAAAAACAATATCCCTCCAGTTTCAGAAATCAGTTTTAAGCTACATGGAAATTTGCTCCACTTTGATTATTTACACTGGTATAATCCACAGTAAGCATTTATTATAAAAAAATTATTATAAAAAATATTATTATCCATATTACAATCAATAAAAAACATAAACAAATAAATTAGAAAAAGTGTACATTAGCACCTAAGAATAATTGAATCTTGCAAACTTTTTTCGACATCTTCATATTCTGAAACACAGATGCCTGTGAGAAATGCGAGCAGAATCTACACAAATATCAGATATGTGCCTTCTATCTTTCCCATGAAAAATCCCCCATGAAATCAACTTATTAAGTTAGAATTACATTCTACATATGCTCAAGAGACATTTATTAAAGGCCAAGAGCATTATCCTTCCCAGATTCTGTCTGCACTGAGTGCCTATATGTAGTGGTATGGGCACAAGGTCCACAGTCTGTGTATACTAAATTTAAAACAGACTTTGATACTTCCAAAAGACTGTTGTTTTCTGAAAGGGCTTGCACCTATGTAGTGGAAAGAAACATCTTCATATAGTTTGTATTTACCTTTTTGTACACCAGGAACATATCCTTCAGATATTTCACCCTCTAGATTCAGCTTTTCTTCCAGCAGAGGGCTGTGTTTCTTCGTGGAGTCTATATCCTCCCGATTCTCTCTGTTGGCTGTTTTTTAAGTATTTGGTTTTGTACCTGTGGCAGCTGATAGCTTTTACTATGAAAATGCCATCGTATCTCCAAGGTATTTTGAACACATTTTCGTATTCTGTTAAAAAGATAATTAGCACAACAAAATGTGAGTATGTGAATGACAACATGAATACCTAGTGAGATTAGGAAATATGTTATCATAATGCTAAAACTGTGGACTACTTTGAAGGCCGAAAAAGGACATTGGTTAGAAAAGATTACCAAATACTGCATTAGGATTAGAACTGTTTTATAAAGTCATACTTAATTACCCTAGAATGTAAATCAAGCAAATGTTCAAAGCCAGGGGTGGTTTTGGTTTATGAAGGAAATGAAAACATCTAGCCTTAAGGCATGTCTAGAGGAGGCTATTATGACACAAGAACAGCTTTACCAAGCTTCCTAGCCTCCAGCTATGTTGAAGTATGACATATGTTGATGCACAGGAAGAACAGACCAAGTATAGATCCAACATCCTTTTAATAAGAAAACTGTTTTTAGTTCAGGAACACTTCCTGAACTAAACGTGGTTTCAAAAAAACTAAACTAAGGATACAAACTCAAACAAACAAACAAAACATATTCATGTTGCCACACAGAAGTATTTCAGTCTCAATTCAGTTTGCTGCATTTAATTTTCTGACTTCAGTATAAATTTCCAATGAGTCTTTACAAGAAAATATGTCACTAGACCACTGGTTGCCGAATAAGAACATACATTTTATATTGCTAAGGAAAAAAAAAACTTATTAGAGATGGTGTTATGTAGCAGCTGATGGAAAATTTATTAGCATGAAAGTAGGGAAAGTAAAGTAAAATTAGCAGATGAGAAAAAAAAATCAGATAACATCTTTTGAGAGAGAGAGAGAAGCATGTTTTACTGATGTAAAAGATACTTTACTTCTGAAAGTAGCTGTAGAATATTCAATGAAGTCCATTAACAGTTGATAAATTTTGCTGTGTTAACAAGACATAAATCACAAATTCGCAGAATTGTAATTCTCTACTAAAAGGTAGAAAGACATTGCATGAACAAGTGGTTTGTCTTCATCATACAAAGTGATGTCTAACGTTACGATGAATGTGGGTTACACTGAACTTTTATTCTACTTCAGAGAAGGTAATTTCTAAAGATAGGTTTTATTTAATCATCACAATTTACATCACTGTAATTACCTGAGTGCACTACAGGACACAGATGCAGCAGGAGTTAGGAACAATGGAAATCAAAGTAAGCCTGAAGAAATAACAAGGTTCAGTGTCTACTCTGAATAGGTCACACAAACTCTTAATAATCTCCTGGGTTTTGTAATACTTAGATTAGGAATAATTTTAACATCCCTGAGAGCCTTTTCTCTTTATCCTCAAATCCATGTTAGCATATTTTTTCTCTTATAGATAATATTATGAAATTTTATAATCCTGAAAATTACAAATTTACTCCAAGGACACGACACCATACTGATAGCCCACTGATAAATCAAGGGAGAAAAAACTGGTCAATTTTCACAGCCAAATTTCATGCTGCTTTATTTGCTTTAAAAAAAATAAAAATAATACCTTATCATTGTTTATATTAACAGAACTGAAAATGTGCTAATTATATTCGACTATTCTAAATTTTGATATTTATAGAAAATGCTAAACAATAAAGTTAAAGAAACAGAAATGCATAGCAACACAGAAAGATTATTTACAGTTGTATTCACTATAGGTAAGAACATCAAAAGTAACACCTCTGCAGCAAAAATCCTGAGCCACTGTGCTGAAGAATCAAGATTATATTATCAACCTTCCCTTATTGCATTTCTTTACTTCTATAAAATTGACCTCTCAATTGCCACAGGCTTTGTTCCAGAAAGCATTTTCTGTCCTGTCACTGATTTTCAGTTCTGATTGTTTATTCAATGTCTTCCTCTCTTTTTAAGGCATCTTAAATTGTCCTTATGAGGCGATTGCTTTTAAGAAAAGCAATCTCTGCAAACTGGTAGCACCTTAACACAGGCTTCTAATTTCCAAGTCAAGAGTTAGCCATTGGCTGAAAGAAACAAACAAACATTTTTCTCATATATTGTTAAGGATGTGCATTATCTGACATTTTTCCTTCGTGGACAGGGGGAGGAAGCGTTTGAGACTGTCTTACCTTCATTATACACTGATCCTCACTTAATGTTTACCCATCATTAAACACAGTTATGGGAGACTCTTGCACTGTCACCACACTTGGGACTGTGAGATATTTCTCAAAACCTCAGGGTGATGTGCACCAGAATACACATTAGAGTACAGTCATTATTTTATATTCAGGAACTTACTGTGATAAATTACACTGCTTTTCTAATAGCCTAAGTTCAGACAGTACCTGCTTTTGCCCATGAGCCAGAACACAAACAGCAAACTGCTAAAAAGCTCCTTTCACCCTCCTCACCTCTTTTTTTTCTTTAATTCTTCTGTGTGGATGCTTGTTCATCACAAAAGGTCATAGTAAACATCCCCAGAATCTGGGATTTCAAGGATACCTATCAATGTTTATGTCAACTTTTATTAAATAAAAGAGTATAGAATAATAATAGAATAATAGAATAAATTGGGTTGGAAAAGACCTCCAAGATCATCAAGTCCAACCCCTGATCCAACTCCAATTACTATATCATGGCACTAAGG